ACCGTTATGTGAACAAAATTAATATACCCTTGTGCACAAGTGCGCTCGGGTATAATTAAACCCGCTGCTCTACTGATACTACCTGTTCAATGTGCCTTGGATCGTATAAAGCTGTTTTTGATTTTTCGTTTTTACCACCATAAAATATTTAAAACCGAGGGCAAAAAATAGCACTTTGTTTGGAAATGACCTACATATGACTTTTCCAAAATGTTAAAATTAAGTAAAAGTAATTTGAGCATAAATACATATATTTACATACATTTTGTATTAATAGAATTGGTATCAATAAATAAAATTGAACAATTTATGGAACCATTTAATAAATCGGAGAAAGTATAGAAACACCTTAGCAGGATAAATATATTAAACTATTCAATTCAAAAATCCCGTACGCTTATGAAAGAGTGCAAATATATAAATGTCAAGAGAAAAACAGATGATGGAAAGAGATATTCAACAAGTAAATTTTAAGCAAAAAATACAAGCGACTTCAACGCTCATATAAAAATTTAGAATTACCGTTAAATTCTTCATGACACGGTGATCGAAAATAAACCAAATGGGTATGGGACCACCCTTGAGCAGCGTTCCCGTTTTCACTCCGATCGGAGTTTCACTCCTTTTTTAAGCCGAACACTACGTCACTCACTCTCTTGAAAAACACTCCGATTTGAGATTATCAGAATTAAATATGTACTACGTTTATACGTAAGCTACATGGAAAAAAGAAAATAATTTGCAAATACCTACAAAACTCACTGTTTATAAAGCGGTGAAGACTTCTTATTTAACGTTGCCTGAATCTTTTCCTGCCTTATCCTAAGTTTCGCCCGAAAAAAAATTTACCCGAAAAGTGAACCGGTTCGGGGAAAATTAAACTCATGATAAGGCTGATAGTTACCAAATTTTTGTAAAAAAAATAACAAAAAGAGTTCAACAACAACATTTTGGTTATTATTCAAAAAAGAATACGTGTGCGCAAATATATCTACGCAGGAAAGTGTATGTTTATGAGACAAGAGACAAATGGGTCTTACATACTTTGGCAAACGTTTTTACTTTGACACTACGGAAAACCCAAAAACACTCCACTCTTTGGCTCATTTCACTCCGCTAGAAAATTATAAAACGTCAACGCTGCCCTTGAGGTACCATCTTTCCTATAAAAAAAATATATGTAATCGAACAGGGTTCACGTGGTCCCGGTTACATACATAAAAAAAAATATATTTCCAAGATTGATAAACTTCCTCCTTTTTGAAGTCAGTTAATAAGTTTTAAATTCATCTGTGCATATTAAAATTTGTATCTAATGTACATTTATTATTTTAATAATTAAAACATTAACTTTAATCACATCTAAATACGTTTATCTAAACTTAATTTTTGTTTTAAAACACGAGAAAATTGAACTAATGTAGTATTTTACTACGTTAAATATTGAAATAAACTGAATGAAACAGCTCTAATTATCGAAAACTAGTAATATTTATGTTTGTTCGCGATTCTTTTCTCGATGGGTAAATCGTAACAACCAAATTGTTTTCTACCGATTGATTTTCGATTTTGGAGATTCGTTTGAAAATGTGGATCCTACATTCCGAGGATATTCCTTTCCTTTGGAGCATTACACGTTTTGGTTCAGCAAATTAAATATCACTTATCCGCAAAAATTTTTAGCAAAACAATTCCATATCTTCTTGTCTGTTTTTAGCAAGCCAATATTTATCAACACCACAGAAATGATCCAATCGATGCGACACAAGTGGCACCAAATTGTCCACAGTTTCCCGACCTGAAGAAAATAACTGCCGCGGAATCGCGCCGTGAAAATGTTGACGATTGCCTTTCGCTAAATATTCATGTGCCGTCATTTATACTTCAACCACAGCAGAGAACTCGCCTCTTGCCAGTGATGGTTTTCATTCACGGCGAAATGTTGTTTGATGGCAGCGCTGAGGAAGCTCAACCAGACTACTTCTTGGAAAAAGATGTGGTTTTAGTATCAATAAACTATCGACTGGCGCCTTTTGGTTTCCTTACCACATTGACGAAAGAAATGCCGGGAAATGTAGCACTGGCCGACATACATTTGGCACTGGAATGGATTCAGCAATACATACGACATTTTGGTGGAGACCCGCTGCAAGTTACTTTATTTGGTCAAGCCGGGGGCGCAACTTTGGTGCATGCTCTAAGCTTTAGTAACAAGGTAATTGAATGCATGTGATTACTATTCAATAATATATATATATATATATATATATAT